TCTGTCTGTCAGAGGCTGGAGAGGGATGGCAGGAGACAAATCGCTTGATCATTGTCTTCGGTCCACCCTCTCTGGGGCACCTGGTGCTGGCCACTGTCAGCAGACAGGATACTGGGCTAGATGGACTTTTGGTCTGACCCAGTACTGCCGTTCTTATGTGACCAGTCTCCTTAACAGGTAGTGAACAATGTTCCTAGATCAGGTAATTTTTTTTTGAAAAAGCTCCAAGACTTTCTCCTGGAGCAAGCCCCTGAGAAGTGAGGATCTGATACTTCCTTTTGGTCACAGAAGATAAACATTTAGAGCAACCAACAATTATGACTGTCATATTTGATGCAGGAGGCCTAACTTGTTTACTCTCATTAGCCTTCACAGGGTTGATGAGAGGGCCTGGTTTAGGTCTGACAGACAGAGATATGACCCTTCCCCCAGAAAGCTGGCCATTGCTTGAGTCAGTAGTTCACAGCAGACTGGGCAACAAGTCAGGTCTGGATGCTCAGTCATGTTTGAAGGCTCTTTCCCAAGCCTCAGTCAGAAAGAAACCTTTGGAACTGTTCTTAGCTGAAACACATCACACAGCAATCAGCTAGGAACAAGACAGTCTTGAGGTCTAAAAGTAGGGTGAGGGATTTCTCTGGCTTATGACAAAAAAACAGCTTCCTTTCTGGTCCCATTCACCTCTGACACTGTCCAGGCATGACTGAGGACAACTGATGAGAGGGGCTGATGCATCTGCAGCAAGCTCACTGAGACACAGAATGACTGATTTCTGAGAGGCTTTATTTTATTTAAGGGAAAAGGAGGGAATAAGAATGGTTCTCGGCTGAAAATTACCGTGGGAGGGGGAGAGGGGGGAGGAGGGAATAAGAATGGTTCTCGGCTGAAAATTACCATGGAAGGGGGAGGGGGGAGGAAGAGGGAGGAGGGGTGTAGAGAATTGTAATGGCTGGTTCTATTTCTGCCAGCAAGCATTTTGGAGCCATGACTGGCTCATCTACAGTTTTCACTTTGAGCCCTACATCAGTAGCACTGTGGTTGTGACTAACTTTCCTGCTCCACCCATCTACCTACTTCCTGTCTCAGAAGCAGATTCTAAAATTGCTTAGACATAAGAAGAAGCTTGCCACTGTCTGAAGCACGCTTCAGCTTTTATGCAAGTTTTCCTCCTTCTGCAATATGATTATGGGGAAGTAAAAGGAAAAGAGAAACTTACTTAAGACTACTCTGTTTCCTGCTTCACTGAAATAGGAAAAGGCAGTTATGCGAAAAAAGGCAAAATATATAGTAACAGCATTTCTTACAAAAATAGGAACTAAGTCCATTATAGATGTTAATTTGTCAAATTACGAGAAAGTATATTTGCACTAGTGGCAGCCAAGACAGAAGAGCCAATACTTCTGCAGATAGTTAACAGTTTTACTGTTCTCAAAAGGAAAGATAAAAAGATTGCATTAGTGTGTCAATTTATGTACATAAAATGTTTGTAAACATCTACTCTGAGATAGTAATCCAAACGTTTCATTAACCTTACTTTTTAAGAACTATCTCAGAGGCACCCTTGCTGAATACCCGAAAACTGCCATCAGAGTTTTTTAACACTGTACTCATTGATTTTCTGACTGAGTTGAAGGTGTATACTTTGTACAGTGCCTCTTCTGGTATTTCATTCCTTATGTCCTGATAATCTCGTTTTAAATCCAGAAGCAATCCCAACAAGGCACATTCTGTTTTATTACCAACATGACGTGGTAGGCCACCTTCTTTTTCAGGAGGCTGTAAAAAGAAAAAGTAGGCAATTCTGTTCTAGTTTGTAGAATACAGTATTCCATTATTAGAAAATTGCAAATTTAAGGTCACTTGAAGTAATATTACCTCACCTTTGAACCAGATATCTTAAGACCTGCTGAATTTTTAAATTCAAAGTCACTTATTACAAGCATTAAAAATCTGGATTTATAAATGCCCTGACAAAAGTGAAAATAAATCAGACTGCTGGCTTTCATAAGCTCTTAACCAAGTAGGGACCATTTATGATCATTTAGTCAGACATCCTGTAAAAGGCCAAAGAATCCCATCCAACAGTTTCTGCATCTAATCCCATACCTACTGTTTTAGTGACAGATGGAAAGATATCCAATTTCTGATCTAAGACAACAAATGGAGAATCTCCCATATCCCAAGTTAAGTTCTTAAATACTCACTGCTCAAGTTATTTCTAGTCCAAATGTATTTAATTTTGGATTCTAAATAGTGACTCATGCCACCTTCTGATAGATGAAGAACCTATGAAATCTTTTCCTCTTACAGGAACTTCTAGGACATGATAAAGTCACCGATTAACCTTCTCTAAATTACAGGCAGTCCCCGGGTTACGTACAAGATAGGGACTGTAGGTTTGTTCTTAAGTTGAATTTGTATGTAAGTCGGAACTGGTACATATTGTAGGGGAAACTCTAGCCAAACATTTCTCCAGAGCTCAGTTTTATTCTCCCACACCTCACTTCCCTCAGGGTATTATTCTCAAGCTGAGGTGTGTGCTGAGAAAAGCCGCTCCGCATCTCCCTGGTCTGCTGGGGGGGAGCGCTAGCTTCGCATCTCCCTGGTCTGCTGGGGGGAAGCAGCTAGTGCGAGGTTGCCTCACCCCGTTTGTAAGTAGGGATCTGATGCAAGTCGGATCCATGTAACCCGGGGACTGCCTGTACTTATATTGCACCGAAGTCTCATTTCAATGCCTATTTTGCTTACACCAAACTAACATTTTTCTGCATCCTTTTGGAAGTGCTAGACACCATATTCCAATACTGGTCTCAATGCCATAGGGACAGTACCACGTCATTATTCCTTATCACTATTCCCCTACTTATATAGGCCAGAATCACAAAAGTATGTCCACGCTGGGTCAGACCAATAGTCTGTCTAGTCCAGTAGTCTGTCTTTCAATAGTGGCAACCCCAACTTCTTGCCATTAGAGGTTTAGGCATACACCTGTCTAAATTTGCTGGCAGTGGCAACCCCAACTTCTTGCCATTAGAGGTTTAGGCATACCCAGCAAATTTAGACAGGTGTAATACAGACCAATCTATTCCCATCAGTATTTACCACTCCACCAATGTGTCTTCTGCACATTTTACCACTCTGTATTCTTCTACATCAATAAAAATATTGATTAGCATTGCACCAAAAACTGACCCTGGCAGACACTAGAAAGCCCTCCAATTAACAAAAGGTTCCCCCATTTAATGTTTTTCATATCAGTTAATCCACTGTTTATTTTGTTGTACTTTAAAAAACCCATTAAGTCTTTTCAAGATTTCTCTTTAGTTGATGCCAACTAGCCTAATATAATTAGCATATCATGGACATTTGTCTTTTCAAATGAGAAGAGACTTCTGCAGATTAAACAATACATATGTAACTTTAACAACTTCAACAGGCAGATAAATGGTTTAGCATTTTTTCCACAGGTTCTGTAATACAATACCAGTGAGTTAGAAATTTTAGCTTGGTCTAGATAAGGCATTGTGATGCCTCTTTTCTCTGAAGGAGTTCTTTTTTTTGGGGGGGAGGGGGGGAGAGACAGTCAAGGGCATCACCATTATTGGATAGAACAAAAAAGGTTTCCCTTTCACAGGTACTGTAGCACTAATCGTTCATAATGGTCGTTTCCTACCGTTTTGCCAAAAAAACCACTCTTCCTGTGCAAGCATATTATGGACCCCAAACCATCTAAACAAGACAAAGCAAAGTAAGGCATGGTCTTGGAATGAACTTTTCTGCACTGAGTCACTCGTACAACACACAAACTGGGCTCTTGCTCTCTCCCTCTGCCACACTGGTTACTTTGTAAAATTTTCCCCCAAATGCTTGGTAGAAATTTCCCCAATTTTCAGATAGCAAACTTATCTCCCCTCCAGAAAAGAGTCCTACTTTAGCTATGTGGTTGATACTCCCTAACATATGAAAGGTAAAGATGCAAACCCATGTAACTGGATGGAGTAGTTAATACGGATGCGAAAGGCTAGTCAACTAGTCACTCCACCCTGCCCCCCGATTGCTGCCTCTATAAGAAAGAGGCAGCAAGGGGGGGTGGAGAGGGAGGAGGAGAGAGGAAAAAGGTGCTTTAATACAGCAGTGCTGCATGTAGCCCGGGGCCAGACCCTGGGCTCCACATGGCGCTCCCATATTGAAACACTGCGTGCAGCTCCGGGTCCCCAGCTGGCCTTGGGCTGCACACAGCATTTCAAAGCAACAGCACTGCATGGAGCCTGGGTTCAGCTGGTGACTCAGACTTTGAAACGCTGCAGGAAGCACAGGGACAACAAGCCCCCCCGCGGGCCCTGTGCTCCCTGCAGCTCTTTTACCTTTGAAGCATAGTAACAGCCGTGGGGCTGTTGCTACATTTCAAAGGCGGAAGCATCGACTATTCGATTAGCCAAATTGAAATTTTACATCCCTAGTAGTTAAGGCAAGTGAGCCATGCTCTGTTATATGCTCCACACTTTTCTATCTACTCAGAAGGCAACCCCAACAATTTGGCATGTAGTATCTCCTGAGATCATGACTGGTGGTGTACAGCTGAATCTGGTAAGTGGAGTCCATCAAACTGCTAGACATAGTAACAAACTTGTGTGCAATATTTATATTGACTCAACAAATTTGTAATCCAGATTCTGAAAATATTCATTCACAAATGCTCAATGTGAAAAGAAATCCAGTTATAAACAAAGATGGCTATTTGACTCTTAATCTACTAACACTATCCAAGAATAAAAACTGATCAATTAAAACAAAGCCACGTTTGTACTTCATAACATCTAGTGAACACACACTATCCTACTCTCATGATTATATTTTGGTAGCACCCAAAAAGTGCTAGATGCTTTCCAAACAGAGGATACAGCCACTAGTACATGAGACATGCATAAATCTATTTAAGAATTAGATTAAGAAAATCTGCTTCTTGAAGACTGTATTTCTGAATCACCAATTCAAAATAATGCCAACTGTAAGATAAGCCATTATTTCTATTCTGAATGAGATCCTCAAACCAATTGAAATATTGGGGTATTTTACATTATAGAAAGGTTAAAGGTACTTTGTCTTCAACTCAATTTATACACATTCAAACAGCTGCTAACACATGACAATTATTTATGCAATGTTTTTTTAATTTTTACACTATTATACATAAATAAGGATATTCACTTACCAGTATTTTGGAAGTATAAGCACAATTAACGGAAATTCCTGTTACAAGGTAAGCCAAAGTTTTTTCAGGAATAGCATCTGGTTCTGGAATTTTTTTATAATGTTTTTCACTGATATAAGCCTGGACCACTGTCATTCTGTTCATTGTCAATGTTCCAGTTTTATCTGAGCAAATGGCTGTTGCATTGCCCATTGTTTCACAAGCATCCAGATGTCTCACCAAATTATTATCTTTCATCATTTTCTATGAAGAAAAAAGCAAATATGAATAGCTAACCACCCCCAAAGCTTCAACTTTCAAAAACCTCTGGTTCTTTATAGTTCTTCAGAAAGTGCTAGTTTTCCCCTTCAGAAGGTAAGGCCTCTTAAAAGATGCCTCAGGTTGGCTACCCAAATACTGAGATATAGAAAGTCAGAAAATGTATCCCCAAGTACATCATGCCACAATAAACTGCATTTTAAACACACCTATTAGAACCAGAGTCCATATTCTGCTGCATTTGTATGTCAAAATTACGTGACTAACTAGAGAAAAAAAATCAACAATACTGAAATGTTAAGCTAATTTACTCAAAGAGAGACACAAACAACATTGCTACTCTAATAGGATCTGGGCAGAACACTTCCAAGCAAAGACATTTGTTCAGTATCTACTCTGTACTGATCAACAGAAGAGGAATATTCAACTGTTTCCAAAGGTGAATGTCTCTGCTGTAGGAGACAGTTGCATTTACAAGTGCTCTAAAAGAAAAATGAACAATATAGGGAGGTTGAGCCCTTTCCAGCCCCAATTTTTTACGAAGCAAGATTAGTCCTATTCACTGATTAGAAAGCAAGACAGAAGTACTGTGCTATATTTCCTTTTAGCTTGAAAGGCTAAGTATGCCGTCATCTTAGAATTCTAACAAAATACAAATCAGAACATCACACAATTTTATTTAAAATGTTTGAAATAAGTCAATGATGTTAGATTTTAGTTCTTGAATAGTAAGTGGCAATGGACTGGACAGCCAAAAGAAACAGACCAGGCAGTCCTGAAAAGTAGTGCAGGAGTTTTACCTATAGACATTAGCTCAAAGTCCCAACTTCAATCTTTCTAGCTCCCACAAGGTAGTTAAGTGAGCTATAAGACTAGAATACCAAGACTGCTGCAAGTTGCAGTAAACGCACATTAGTAGAATTACATGAACAAGCAATATACAGTCACTGTCTGCACTATATCCATCTCAAAGTAGTGTTTAGTCTTTCATCGTGACAGAAATCCAAGAATCTGACGTTTGCCAGAGGTAGCAGATACCGTATACTAGATAGAAGGTACTAGTTATTCTGCAATATTAACTCAAAAGTAGGAGAAAAATAATTAGCATGTATCCAAGACTGAGGAATTATTGCAATCATTTCTGGCCTAAGTTTGCCAATTGGTACTCGCATATCCGACATCTGGCACAAGTGAAAGCTTACATAGCTCAGCGTGAAAGCCTAACACACTTTTTATTTTAAATTAATATAATAGGCTGTGGTATGGATCTGACAAGCATACTAGAGTGCTAAACTACGCACATGTGCATATAACAGAAGTTCTTTCATTCCAAGTCCAGACACTTCACTTGTGTCAAGTTTATATTATACTGCCCAAGGAACCCCTGTCTTTATGTTAACGTACAGTGGATTAGATAGCAACTTGCCACATTGGTTTTTCATTGTGTCTGTAACACAATGAGTTAAGTAAGAGTTAGAATGAGATAAGAAAGATTCTCAGTCTCCAATGAAGACACTTAAAGTGTAGAATTTCCTATTTTGCATTTTAGAACTATTTTATGTGCCTACCTACCTTTAAGCATGCATTTTTATACATACCTTTACAGAGTAAGCCAGTGAAATAGTGACTGCAAGTGGAAGACCCTCTGGTACTGCCACCACCAAGACTGTAACTCCAATAATGAAGAACTTCACAAAGTACTGAATATAAATTGGTGTGCATTCAGCAAGCCACGGTCGCTTCTGAACCCAGAAGGTATCAATTACAAAATACAAGATAAGGATAATGACGGTGATTGCAGACATCAACAAACCTTTTGTTAAAAAGAAAAAGGATAAGCAGTTATTTTTAAAATCTCCATCTTATCTATGCAGACATCAACAAACCTTTTGTTAAAGAAAAAGGATAAGCAGTTATTCTTAAAATCTCCATCTTATCTGTAATACAAGAGTCAAACACATTTTAAAAGCTACTCATTTTCAGACTAAATACAAAAATATGGAAGTGTCCTTTAAAATGGCAAACATAATGCGATTTTATTTTTAACAGGTAGATTAGAAGATTTTGATGTGTCACAGTTATTGCAAACTTGCTCCCAAACATACAAATACAATTATTACTGGAGACTAGGGGGCTGTGCCCCTGCTTGCTATGCTCACCAATTCCCCCTTGCGCCTCTCCTTGCAGAGCACCGAGGAGAGGGCAGGCCGCACCTTTCCCATCCCTTCCCCCAGAGCACGAAGGGCGTGGGGGGTGTATTAAGGGGCTCGGGAGCGGGTAAGCGCGCAGCTTTCTCCTCCATTCCCTGGAGCACCAGGGAGTGGAGTAGCTG